AGGACAGAAAGAGTATTGATACTTTTGAACTCTGAAGAATACCATGGATAGCCAAGAAAACAAGCGAGTGGATCATAGAACAAATCCATCCAGGCTTCTCATTTGAGGCACAAATGACTAAGCTCAAATTACCATATTTTGGACACATTATCCAAATGTCTAGCTCTCTTGAGAAGCCTATAATATTCGGAAAGGTGAAAGGAAAACAAGTAGAGGATGACCAGCAGCAAGGTGAATAGACTTAATTACATTGGTGATGGATGCACCGTTGGAAAACCTGAAGGACCAGGTTGGGAGCAGATCATCCTGAAGAAGTTCTGTCTATGAAGTTGCTAAGAGTTGACACAAACTTGATAGCACATAATCAATCAATCAATCAATCAATCAATCAATTAATGTAGCTAGAATTTTGCATGAGTAAGTAATGTGTTTGAGACAAGCAGACTTGTTTTTTCTATGCAGGTATTCACCTGTCACCATTCTCATTCATTCTTGGGTCTTCAAATGGTTCAATCATTTTTTTCTGTACTTTCTCATCTCATTCCCACTCTCCGGTCATATAATCTAGCAGTATAATTGTTCCTGTACAATTATGAATGTACAGTTAGATTCATTCAGACTGTTGCACAATTTTCCTGAAAACTCATCTCTGTTTCTTCCATTAGCACCATTCACCAGTGTAGGTGCAACTTTCAACAAATTATGGATTTTTACTTTCATAGGCCATAACAACATAGGTGACACCAAATCACAGTTTCTGGCATACATTTTAGCTCTTTCGTTCATAATTAAATCTATACCTTCACTTCCCTGCATGTTCATCAACTGTATTCCACCAGATATGACTACAGGTAGTCCTCGCTTACTGACTACCTCATTCAGCAACTATTTAAAGCTATGATGGTGCTGTCCCTCAGCCACATGATTCCCATTACAGTCAGTACATGTTGTTCTGTGCCTGACCTGTTGTTTTTCTTCCCCCTCCCCCCCCCCGCAAAGCAGAGAGATTGGAGAGGAAGAGATTACAAGAGAGTAAACAAGCACACAATGGGGAATACACATCAAAGGCAATATGTTGGTGCCGGCAGCTGCTAGTGTGCTATGCAAACACCCCAGTATTTTCCCCATTGTGTGCCCGCTTACTCTCTTGTAATCCCTTCCTCTCCAATTTCTTTGCTCTGCAAGAGGGGGGTAGGGAAAAAAAAAGCAATTTCTATAGGCAATCTCTCCAGGACCTGATCCGTTTTCTCCCTGCTTGCATTCCATGTCATGAATGTCCATATGCCATTGTTGTCGCTGTTGGGTGGATGGATATTGACCTCTACCCACCTTGGCTTTGTAATATTTTTTAAAAAGATAAAGAAGGTGTAGACTAGGTTGTCAGCCTTAGTCATACCTGTGCCATATGCAGCATTCCAGCTAATGATAACCACAGTAACAATCAGTTTTGACACATTTTGGCAGTATGTGACAAGCACAACCAAAGCCCAGCTTTACTTCAAGCACGCTCATGCTATTTTTATGCAAGCTAGGGTCTCTCATTCAGATATTACCTTGCAGTAGACTGTTGCCTGCATCCCACTAACTAGGAGACTGCAATTTATTGACATTCACACAGGGTGCAAACCTAGTCCTAAATATATTTTCTATTATTTTCACACTAATACTAACATAGCATCAATACATAGAGCAACTTTCTATCTTCTCCTCTCTTGACAAACATGTAAAAGGAAACAGTCTTCTATGCATGAGCTTACTTCTGTGTCATATAATAGTTCAGATTACTAGAGTTTCATTATGTGCAAATAAGCCTTAAATTCATTGTTACTTTCTTGAATCATTTTGACTTGGGTACTATTTTCACAGGTTTTTGTATGAAATACATTTTGCAAAACACAAGCCATCACCAGCATTCTCGGGTCCAGAAGGAACATTAAAGTCTCCCTCCCCATTTCAACAGCTGAAAGTAAGGGAATGCTTTTATACATGGCTTCCAGCTGGCATTTCCATGGAAACAGAGAACTTGATTATCCATTCACTCACATGTGTGTAAATGGGTGAATAGCATTTCCCATCACAGAACATTTGTGAAAAACTGAAACAAAAAAGGAGAATCAAGCCATCTCTTCTTTATGGAGCTTGTAATAGAATGCATATTTCTATAGCAGCTGTATTTAAACGCTTGAACCAAGTGGCAGAAACAAAAATGTAAACTGTATTTCAGAAGGGGAATTGATAGATGTATCAGTATAGTGATACCAATTTATCCTATCTATTTCTATAGATCATCTATCTATGTCTCTCTCTCTCCCCCAATATATACCCAAATACAGTAATCAATGAGTTCCTCTTTCATAAAATCTCATCACATTATTTGGTTATTTGGTTTATAACTCAACTGTCCAGCAAGAATAGTATTAAAAGTAGCTCACCATAAAGTATAAAATAATAAATGGACAAATAAATAAAAGAAAAATACATCCAGAAATAAAGAAGGTCAGCAGATAGGATCAGCAGATAGGAAATGCAAAGAGTAAAAACAAAAAGAAAAGTCTGATGGTAATACCCAGCTGCTGCTTCATCTTTTTGCAAAGTTTGGCATTTGTCCTTTTTTGGCTGCTTAAAGTATAATTTCAAGTTGCTCACATCTGTACTGCTGCATACAGAGTAATGATTCATGTCTCCATAGTTGAATATTTGCAATGGTTTCTCACAGAAGGAAAAACAGAACCTCTGTCATTTTCTTGAGAAACACTGGAATACTTCAGAGGGTTTCTCCTTGGTGTTGCTGTGAATCAAGATTTGTTTTTCAAACCATTCAACTTCCACCCGCCTGGTAACCGGCATACTTGAATCAGGCCTGCTGTAAAAAAATTGGACATTGGAAATGTGGTAGAAGTCATCAGCTTGCTTGAGCTGCAGCCATAAGACAGCTTTGCTGCTGCTCTACAGAACATTGGAAACAAATGCTTGCAAGATACATCATGATTCCCTTCAGCCTGGAGCTCTTGGAAGAAAGATGAAGGAAACGCACCATCATATTTTGAAGGCAGAAATCTCTCTCTAGAGCAAGGTTTCTCAATCTTGGCAATCTTAAAGTTGCTAAGGTTGAGAAACACTGCTCTAGAGGTTACAATGAAGAGTGAAAAAGGAAGGGGGGGGGGGAATACAGCACTATGTGGACATACTTTGCTTTGTCTGACATTTCTTGAGAACTACTTTCTGCACTAACCATGTCAAAAAGCGCCTGAATAATTCTTTATAAATCTTCCTTAAGCAGCTGGTGTCCCGATATTACTACTTTACAGAGCTAGAGGTACAAGACCAACTGATGCAAATCAGCATAGATCACAGCCATAGTCCTTTTAAATTCATTCATGGCATAAAAATGGCCTACAACGTTTGGACACTTGCATCATTTTGGGAAGCAGTGTTAAATGTTGCATGATCACCAAGTTCAGGAAGTGCCAGAAAAGAAAACATATGCCTGAAAAACCCTTGACTGCTGCTGTAAGCAAGCTTTGCAAGACATCTCTCAACCACATCTTGAAGCTTCTAAGTCTATCCTCCTTTTGCCTTTACTCTGTGTGTGTGTGTGTAGATAAAGATGGATATTATCCCTGCTTGCTCTGACTAGCATCTGTCCTGCCCAGAATACTTATGAGAGTAATAAAAAACTCAGATTCACTGTCCCTAGGGGTCTATCTACAGTTTGCTTGAATTATATGCTTTCATAATAAAAGACCTACCAGGAAACTTCCTGATATACACTCTAGGGCAAGGTTCCTCAACCTTGGCAACTTTAAGACGGGTGGACTTCAACTTCCAGAATTCCCCAGCTTATATTCCCCCCCCAAAAACAAAAAAACC